CGCTTAGAGGAAGCGTAATTTAGGTCACCGACCTTTCGTTCTATACTTAGAACAAGTATGAGTTAGCAGATCGCAATCCGCTTACTCCAAGTGTAATTATTGCCTTAACCCAAGGCTAATTACTCTTCCATTTAAGATTCGAAACTGATTTTATTTATTTTTATCTGCGGCAAAGCCGTATGTTCAGATTTTCCTAAATATATATAGTAAAATCTAAATACATGCATAACTACTGGCTACCTAGCCACATACCGTATTCTTGTTTGGGTGCAGTCACACCATGCCCATCTCGTGTGACACACCCTGTTACCAGGGGACGTGTAACTCCGTTGCATCTTTCGTCATTTGAAGTTCCCAGTGTCCATCGCCAAATTGTCCATGTGATTTCTTTTGCTTAATATAATCGATATCCTTCGTGATGATGCGGGGCATCGCAGCGTATACACCTTAAAGTCACTCGATAACCTGCCTATAATCGATGACGACGGCTCTTTTTGAACAGACAATTTCAATCTTTCAACTTCAGCTTGTAAAATTTGATTTATCATTGGGCATTAGTTTGTAAATTTGACAATCATGGTCAGCTAATTGTGGCTATTTACGACTTAACATTTGAGATACTAAGTTGATGAAGCAAGCAAAAACTTGGTAACTTTCAAGCCGTCAAAAAACCAACGATTGATAAATCAGCTGCTTATTGTATTTCAAGATACAAAGAAACGGAGCCATTGATCCAAGTACTACTTACTACTATTTGAACAAAGTATTATTCCCGCTTTTGGTGTGGTCGATATTAAACTTGCGGCAATTTTTCCAAGATAAATCTCTTTATTTTAGGCCATATGTTACATATGTAATAAAAGACCAAATTGTTGTCCCGATGGATCAGATCAAGTTAGTGATCAGCAGCGCTGGTGATAAAGTGGCGGGTGCTGCGAACGATGCCAGCAAAACAATAGCGAATATGACAGGTGAAAAGAACAGTACGAACAAGACGAGCGCTTCAAATGCATCCAGTTTGGACATGTTTAACAGTACATGCCCAAATCTGACGAAAAAGCAGCGCATGATTGGTTTCATATCGTGTTTTGTGCTTGGATTTCTCGTGAGCTTTGGAGTAATATGAATTTACTATATGCGTATGAGATACTCAATTGTATTCGCTAACTCTTACTCTTGTTAGTCAACGTTTGCTTTAATCGTCGGTTCGGATAATGGTACAAAATTTGGTATCACTTATAGTCTTGGTAATATCATTTCACTTTGCGGGTAAGTTGGAAAAAAATTGGGAGTGATGTTATTATAATAAGTTTGTATTGTGGATAGATCAGGATTTCTAGTGGGTCCAAAGCAGCAGGTGAAGCTCATGTTTAAACCTTTGCGACGCATTGCAACCATCATTTATCTTGCAATGATTGTTGTGGTGCTGGTAGTTGCTTTAACGGTACGAAAATTGTAACTTTTGAATGAATTCTGATGTTTTGAAAGTTTGTGCTTTCATTTTTCTTACAAGGCGCCGCAACTCGGTTTAGTGGTGCTGCTGCTGGTGATTGTTCAGTGTGTAGCTGCTGTTTGGTATGTTAGAAATTGAATATGTTTATGGAGTAGGTACTGAATCCTTTATTACAGGTACTCAGCAAGTTATATCCCTTTTGGACGCAAAGTTCTCAAAAGTATTGCTCAAAAAGTCTGTGGTGCTCAAGTTTAAATACACACATGAGTACGAGAATCTTATCAATTTAGCACGAAGCATTGCATGTCTACAATCGCGATAGAATGATTAGTTATTGATCAGTTCTAAAATCTGAAACATTTAATGGCTCAAAGTCGTAGAATTAATTTATAATTAGCTTTAACCAATGCACTGGTTTCACCTATAGAACGTTCGCGATGATAAGCAATCTGATTGGCTGTTATCGTATATCTTAAATAGCCGCGTGCATATTTGTCAAGATGAATACCCGAAGTAAAGAACGTGAGCAAGTTGACAGTCGATTGTTATCACCAGATCGTAGTGACGATAAAATTGAGTCTGAGCTTACTAGCGAGACAAATTCACGCGACATTGTTGCCGAACTCGCTACAAATCTGCACAAAATTTCATTTGGTGAACCTTCAAACGTGTCGGTCAATTCGAAGATCACGAGTTCAAATCAGCTCAGAGAAGCATTACCATTGATTTGCAATGAAGTTTTTCGAGTTCTTGGTCCATATAATCTCGAAGCGACATATCAGCGAGCTTTGGCTTTAGAGCTACAAGATCGAGGTGTGACGGTTTTGTCAGAAGTGGTGCTTCCAATTGAGTATAAAGGACAACAAATAGCTACTCGACGTGTTGATCTATACTTGAAACTTGAAAAGCCTGTGATTCTCGAACTAAAAGCAGTCACAGCTGGACTTAAATCGGACCACATGAGACAGCTCAAGTTCTACATGACCCATCTCGACGTGAATGAAGGATATCTCATTAACTTTCCACATATCTCAGGCTTTCCTGATGAAAGTCGGACACAGTACATTGAGCACGTGTTACAACCGGAAGGTGGACTTGGAGTCAGTGACCGTGTCACTAGATCGTCAACAATTCGTAAAGGTGCAATCGCTAATATTATTCATGTCCAAGTGAAGAAGACAGATTCGATTTGTGTTATACGCTAGAAAAGTGCTGTTAAACTAAAAGAATGCAGCGTCTATATTAGATAATCAGTATAAAACGACTCCAGGTCCTAGACACGTCCTTTACGTAATTGGCCATGTGCTTTGTCGATGGCGATAAAGTCGAGAGTTTCAATAATGTCGCACGTCTGGTAATCGGATGAAACAAATTGATCAATACTTTTGGTGTATAGAGAGACCAGAGTCTTGTGAAATGCTGTCTGAAACATGAGTGTGTGGGAATGGCGACTTGAATCGTATGGAGAAGAATGAACGAGTGTTCCATTTGTCTGACTTAATGATTTCTACACTTCAAAAGGAATGAAAACCATAAGCATCAGACGATGTCTGTTATCACCACATGTCCGATGGTGTTTTCTCTCTCTCCCTCATATTCACTAAAACAAAGCGACATCATCACGACGTCGTTTTCATCGCCATAACGTCAGGAGGAAAGACATAAATAAGTGAATATGAATCTATTGTTTGTCTTGATTCTCGCGGGGTTTGCCACTACTAGCGTCTTTGGACAACCAAAAATTTTGCTTACAGCCGTAACAACAACCACTGGCGCGTCAAATCCAAGTGATACGAATACTCATGTACCCATCAATAGCGCGATTACAACCAGTGACTCAGATGCCACGATCGCCATGAGCAATACGAAGAAAGATTCAGGAATTGGCTTGTACACTTCAGGTGAGTCGAAGTCTTCAGATAAAGACCCAAGCTCTGCATCAACCTTGAGTCAACTTGTGGCGATTGCTACTGTCTTGACTATTAGCGTCTATTTCTTGTAATTTGATCAAAACCGAGCTCTTTGTTCGACTGTTAAATCCTCGTAATATGGTTTTAAAATGTTCAATCGCATGTATTTCGCTGTCAATTAAAACTCCCTTTCGTTAGTCACGGCGTCGATCACGGCCAGAAGAGCGGCGTTTCTGGCCAGAACCGTTTCGAGCATCCGTAAGAAATTGATCTAACCCGAATGGATCGTCGTCACTGTCTTCACTACTTGAACGACGGTGACGATTGTTTCTACTACGAGAGCGAGAGCGAGATGACGATCGAGAAGATCGAGAAAACGAACGAGAAGAAGACGGAGAGCGGTGACGTTTTCTTCGATTACGCGAGTAAGACGGAGAACGCGAACGTGCACGCGGACGCCCACGCTCCCGTGCGTATGATAGAGAACGGGACGGTGACCGTTTCCGTCCACGCGAAACTGAGCGTTTTCTACCACGAAATGGAGATGATATACGACTACGTCGAGTCGGTAAATTACTGCGACTTCTTGAACGCGATGAAGAGATGGAACGCTGTCTCGGCGATTCGGAACGACGTCTTGGCGAGCTGAAACGACGTCTTGGCGAGCCGGAACGACGTCTTGGTGAGCCGGAACGACGTCTTGGTGAGTTGGAACGACGTCTGGGTGAGTTGAAACGACGTCTTGGTGAGCCGGAACGACGGCCTGGTGAGTTGGAACGACGTCTTGGTGAGTTGGAACGACGTCTTGGTGAGTTGAAACGACGTCTTGAGTTGGAACGACGTCTTGGTGAGTTGAGACGACGTCTTGGTGAGCCGGAACGACGGCTACCTGAGTTGGAAGAACGTCTTGGTGAACGTCTCGGTGAGTTGAAACGACGTTTTGGAGAGTTAAAACGACGTCTTGGTGAATCAGAATGACGACTCGGTGAGTTAGAACGGCATTTTGATGAGCCAGAACGGCTTCTTGGTGAATTAGCACGACGTTTCGGTGAGGTAGAACGACTACGAGAACGTGGCGAAGACTCAGGCAATGGATGTTTTCGTTCCCGAGTCGATCGCATCTTTTGCTTAGAAGAATTTGAGCGCGATCGACGTTCACTTGGAGCAGTAGATGGTCGTGCATTGGTCACATCTTCCTCCTTCGTCAACTCGTCAAAAGAAAATTGCACCGGTCCATCACGTCCACCACGTTGAGCCACATCTTCTGTACCACGAAATTGTTTATCAGCTTTGAATCGCTTCTGATGACCTCCTTTCAGCTCTTCGTATTCCTTGTCAGCATCCATTGCACCATCATCACCTTTTGGACGGTAAACGCTTGCTTTTCCACGATCAACCATTGGTTTTGAGTAAACATTGTACTCATCTTCATGGCCAAAGCCCGAGTTCATACCTTGCGACTGGTTAAACAAACGCGAGTCAAACAACCCATCACTTCCTGCAATACGACCTCCACCTTGTAATTGACCAAGTGCAATTTTTTCAGAGATGTCACGGTCTTGATCGCGACCCATTTTACCTTTTTTACCCATTTTTTCCATCCGCATTTCCCGTTCGCGCTCTTTTTTACGCTCACGTCGAACTGCATCTCTTTCACGACGTCCTTCTTCGTCACTCTCGTCATTTTCGTGGTCACTTGAGTAAAGTTTTCGACTGCGATTATCCTCATCCTCTTCACAATTTGCTCGAATCCCAGCACGTTCCATTCGTGCTTTTGACGCCAATTCGCGCAATTCATTCTCTTTTTGTTCCTTTTGTTTCATTGCTAATTTCTTTTGCACTTGTGCTCGCATGTTAACTTCCTCTCTTGCTTTCCGTTCTGCAATTGCTAAAGCTTCAGATAAACTCGCAAAATTGTCATTCACCGTCACTTGTTGCAATCCTCGTCCATCAGCTGCCAGACGTTTATCTAATGCAATAGTAAATCCTTTCGAATTCTTCCAATTTGAAATACACGGTGGTATTTTCCATGATTGTTGATCAGCCACAGTAAGTTTCCTTGGAGGCGAATGTAGTACTGGTACAGGTGGAGATGGTGGACCACGTACAGCTTTCGTGTGTCGAAACTTGGGTGGTTCCATTGGATCTTTCGCGACTTCTACCATACGAATAATTCGTTGTTTTGGAACTCCTGACGTACCTTGATCATTTGGTGTATACCGAAAGTACGTGGCTGTCTCCTTGGCGCTTTTTTGACGTCCCACATTAGTTGGTAAAGAACTTGCTACTTTGCCTTGAACTAAACTTTGAAGAGCATCTCGAGTCCTATTAGCTGTCTCGATTTCTTCATCTTTACTGGGAAGCATTAAAGCTGCTCCATCATCATCTTTCTCGACAATGTCGCTAAATTTCGTGTAAACTTTTGTCTTATCACGATGCTGTTGAGTCACAATGGCATCGTAACTTACTTTGCCATCCTCACCGCGTACTTGAAGAGCTAATGTACCGATATGATTTTGAGAAAATGACCCATTTTCACCTTTTTTACCCATTCCAAGAGGAAATTGAGCTATATGGAGCTCAGGGTATGCACCACCGTCACCAAAATCCTCATGACGACGTGGTACGAACTGCTGTTTGATACGAAGCGGGTATTGAGGGATGTGGGCAATAGGATTACGCTGAGGAGATGATGGAGTAGAAGTAGACGATGGAATGGAATCCGAAAACGTCGTGTACGAGCGCACGGGTGCTGGGAACAGAGCGCTCATAGTTTGGGAGTTTTTCGACTTTTCCAACGTCCAATGTATTAACAATAGGAATTAGGAGTTAATTTGGAAGTTTTTACGGGCGCTTTAGAATGTAAATAGGGGTGAACGGGTACGCTCTTTTGCAATTTTTGTTTTAAGACGAATGAAATTATTGTGAAAATATTTTCAGCCGGCAAAATTTCTTTTGCGGGAGTAAAAGACTGGTCAAGCAAGGCCTTGAGTGCAATGATGTTACTTTTTGGGCTAGATCGAGATACAAGAACTGCCTCAACTATTACAACGGTAACGTAATTCTGTCAAGGTGTATGCACGCATTACACTGCTGTTCAGAATGAGGCTCAGGAGGACCAAGGTTGAGATACAATAGGTACACACAGTATTTCTGGGTTCTTTTAAATGTAAAGGCATTACTGATTCGGACAGTGAAACTGTAAGAAAGAGGTCCGTAAAGCAAGTACGATGTCGGCCTCACGTCATGCAGTAAGAATTTTACTTTTTGATCATCGTGAAACTGTAATCCTACAGTGAATGTATCAATTAAACATGGAGATTGATTTATCCAAACGAGTATTTACCTTGTGGCGATTGCATCCCCGTGATGTCGTTCAGCTCACTCCGAGAACACTTTCAGGCTACGCCACATTTTGCTCAACTTTTTCGTCATCTTGCATGAAAATGGTGTTTCTACTGAAACCCATGTTTGATTGTCTAAGACGCTTTCTATATATCGCGCGTTACGGCTAAATAGCATGTATCGACTTTTAATCTCATCAACGCCATAAGCTCTCGCGCTCGAAGTCCCATGAAACGGATACCTCACTGCTCGATCGTCCAGCTTTGTGTACTATTGCACAAGAAAAGAAACGTAAGCTGGCGACCAAACCTTTTTCAAGCTCACCAGCAAGCATTTCTTGTCAGTCCAGACTTGTGGTCACGACTTGTGGTGGCTGTTGGCACGTTTGGAACAACGATTGCTCAAAACAAACACGCGATTTCTGCATCATCTAAGTAAAAAGTAGGTTTACCAGCATGCGCCAACATGCATCGTGCACATTCCACCAGTGTATAGCTCGTCCATTCAGCAATACCGTTCAGTTGAAATGTGTCCAAAGGCGAAAGCGATTGCACGATGCCTCAACGCTTGCAGAACTTGGCAATCTAAATAAATCACTTTAAAAAGTTTGAACAACTGTTTCTATCTGTCTCTGCAGACCCAACATACTCAGCAGCCTTGTCGAGCACTTACGATCTTTTAATTAGATACACGAGTGCGCGAGTGGGATTTTGTTGTTAATTATCATGAGATAGCGCTTAGTGTTCAAGGTAAGAGACTTCAAGGAGCCACATATATTGCTTTGAAAAATCGAGAGCATGTATTTGGCATGATTCAAGAGGAATTTAATGAAACATCCAAGTTTGCTTACTTGGCACACAGCCATCACATAGCTTTCACTAATTAAGTGACGTCAAGTAATGCCGTTAGTGTACTGCCTTTAAACACTGGTATCTACTCCGTCATGCCCGATGTGATCAGGCTGAAAGTTATAAATTCACGAGATTGTATTTTCTTGGCATCTCGACGAGCTTGCCGACTAAGCTTCCTCAAAGCTGATCGGAGTCATACAGTGCCGTGGTCGCTAGCTCACTCTCTTTTTGTCATATAGCGTCGACATCAATTTGGCGCCTATTAGGACAGGTTATACTACACAATTATCTAAAGGTGTACACTAGCAGGCGGGTAATTCATACACTCTTTTGGGTAGACCATGTGCTGCGTCGCACCCAATCCTCCGATCTCTTGCGACTTGACATGATGGTACGAGCGTTACCACCACTAGAGAATTGAATTTGCTAAATCAGTTTTCACTTTTCGCGAAATAACGCGCTGCTGCCTCTGCCGTTCCGCGTTCTCGTGAATACCTACAAGAAACATTCATCTCCAATTATACTTCTTCCCACAGTAGCGAGAATCACTGATAGCTTTCCTCGTCGCTTGTTGCCCCTTACATCGTTCATCGTCCGTTAATACAATTACTTGACCTTGACATGCGCGATTCCATCGACGCTGCCGCTTAGTTCATTGCAAACCAAATTTCATAAAGCAATCGCGACATCACAAGGTCCGAGGTTAGCGTGCTGGCTTTCGACTCCAACACCATTATTCAAAAACGGTATGACTATCTGAGACTGGTGAGTGGTGTGGTGACCAAGTCGACCTCGCTGACCAAGGCACCAACACCATTGTACTGATCTTTCGAGTACATTCTATACTCTATACGCTATACTTCAGCGCATCGTCACCTTTACTCATTAGTCGTGAAGAAGCTTCGACAATAAGCGTATCGGCCAAGCTCTTCTACTAAAAGTGCGACTTCCGTCGCAACCATGAATCATACACACTGTCTGCAGAGTAGGCCAAAGACAGTTGTGAATCCTTCAGTGCAAGGTAGATGATTGTTATGGCCTAATTCGACCCTCTCGTCAACGTTGACCGGTTGACTGGTCCGGTGCAGTGGCGCAGTGTTCAACCAGAAACGACCTTCACCAGATCACGTTCCTCGTGCACCATTCGCATCTTGAGATTCTTCGTGTGGAAGCTCGTTCATCATATTGTTGATGTGGCCAAAAGCGAAATTTTTACAGCTAAGGTGCAGTCGTGATCAAAAGCAGAGGTTGCGGGGCATGTGCTTGTGGCTTGTTGAATATGAAGTTTGCGCTGTAGACGGCAAGATTCACAGAACTCCTCCGGTTCACAGTTCGCCAATTAACTTGCTACCTCAATGCTTGTTAGTAAAAATCCTGTCGTCTACTCTTACCATGTTTTCTCTTACTGAGCATTCTAGTGTCTGCTGACTTATAGATATGTGATATTTGATTGAAACGTCCCCTCGTCAGCTGAGACAACATTCCATTCTGTCACAGTTATCAGACTTAACTGGAGGGTTATATAAAGAATTGAGCGTTATTTAGTGTCCTCGTCGCAAGATGCACGAATACAAGAACGATATGTACTTGGCATCTTTAAGCCTTCGCAGACTGTACACTGGTATTGATAGCCGTGCGAAATACAAAATGTCACGGTACTCCTAATCTGTCAAGATATTATGCTGCTTAACAAAGTACGGGTTGTGGATGTTAGGAATCGACAACCCTAGCGGTGAGCGCCACCTCTTTGAATGTGTGCGTTCCATTTCGGATTTGGGTCTCGTTGATTCTGACCACGATCACGAGGTAAGATAGAATGCAATTGGTTTTGCAGCAGACCGTTATGCGACAAACAGGAGGCAAAATCTTCCGCAGAAGCTTCGTTAGACAGCGCCACAAGGAAGCTCGATCCATGTACCCTTCTCTTGATGAAGAGTGGGGTACACGAGACGCAGATGCTTAGTACTTACACATATGCAATATCTTTGGAATAATGAAGCTGCTCCGCAACAAAGCTGATTTCTTATATATATTCTCGTCATGTCTCATCGTATCGCTTCTGTCGTGCTCAAAGAGTCTAAAAATTCCTCAACTTTTGAGACTCCAGCAGGTCCACGCTTCGCCCCGCAAATACCCGATACCCACTACTTTCTCGAGCGAAGTGGGATGAACGCGGACGGTCTTTGATGCGAGCAGCACATGCTCGGATACCCTCCATAGATGTCAATAATACCGCCTTCGAATGAGGTTATTCCCGCACTGTGGCGGGAAGAAATCTCGATCCCGGTTCATATACCTCGATTTTTTTTCTATT